CATCGAATCAAAAGCTACCAAAACAAAAACACAAACATCATCACGACTTATTAATCGCAATCGAAACTCATAGACCCCTCATTATACACTATGAGAATTACGAATATAACCATTATATGCTCTTATTATGAACTTAAACAACTGTGACAAATTTCGATTTTGGCAAATGTCGATTTAGGGTTCTTCGTGAATTTGGAGATTTTTGTTATCGGGAATAAAACAAAACTGAGATCGGTTTTAAGCAAACATGGGTCGGGTTTAAATTCGAGTCGGGTTTAAATTCCAATCGGATTTCAATTTGGTCGGATTACCGGTTTAACTGATTTAGCTGTGGTTATCTTATAAACCGATAAAACCGACAATCTAGAGTGATCTGGGATGAAATAGAAATGTAAGTTTCATATGGTAGATAAATTATAGGGACAAAGATTCTAGATTCATCTGGTACGATATGAAACTTTTCAGAGAAAAATAGTACGTTTTCCATTTCTTTACGTTTGGAAATGGACCTTAGTGTGTATGGTACTATAGGTGTAGTCTTGATGACTCTGAAAAAGTGGAAATTAGGTGTTTAGAAATGGATGAAGGTTCAATAATTACCATTTTGTAAGAAAGTAAGAGAATATACTTTTTACCTTTGTGATATTTCTCGGATTCCAAACCTTAAGATACTGTAATCTGTAGGTCCCATTTCCATGACTCATCGTCCTTATCTATATATCTCTGTCACTTTCCAACTTGCAGTTTGTTATTTCCACACCCTTAAACAAATGCATCATGGTATATTGGTAAAAGAATTGTTATTAATTTTGAGTATAAAAATACAAAAATTAATTTTTGACTTTCAGAAGTTAAAATCATGAATTGTGTCTTCTTTTTATACCCTCAGATTTGCTGTTTACAAAAACAGGCTAAACATTTGATACAATTAAGTGGTCTATTTTTAAGCTACAAGCGTAGGTGTAAGTAGTTGAAAATAAACGAATAAAATTATCAAGAACTATCAGTAAAATAAAGTCACCAAACTTTTATTAAATGGCGTGGCAGTTAGTGAAAAAACAAACAAGATTTCAGTGGAAGGAAAAAAAAAAGAAATCAAGATATTTCGAGAAAGACCGTCTATAAAAGTCATAAGCCACCACCAAAAGTGTTTTAACTCTTCACATAACTCTCTCTACAAAGTACTCAAAAGAGCAACCACAAATACAAAAAACT